AATCTAGCATTGGTGTTCTTGGAAATTGCCATCTCGACGGCCCATCCGCCTTCCAAAGTGGTGCCCCTACCATGGTTACTTTCACCACTAGCCTCGGAACCCTTTTGATTTTCAGAATCAGAATCGGAAATGGAATCACAATGACAACAACAGTCGTTCTTCGTATGGGATTTTGATTCATGATGGAAATCGCCATTGCCAGGGGACTGTTCCAAAGACAAAAGCTCTGCCTTTTCAATCTTCTTCACTATATTCATTGGGTTTACTTTCCCAGAAATCGTTGGCACTCCTTTGGAATCATAGTCGATCGATTCCACTCCTGATTGTAAACAAGTTAAACAAACGCCAGTAATTATATTATTATTTTAACTCCAAATTTAACTCAAATCATAAATTACCATTGATTTTTTGCAGCTTTTCCTTTGCTTTCGCTCCATAATCGTTGCAACAGTTTATATTCAGTTTTACAGTACAAGCCTACAAAATAAGTTTTTTAAAAAAACACACAAATACAATGGAAATTATAAAAAATAAAAATTATAAAATTGAAATAGACATATCAGTAAATGAGAAATACACTTAACTGCTTGAAAATTTTCCATTGAATTAAACTTTGAAATGGATAAGAAAACACAAAACAGAATAATATTTATAGTTAAAATATGGAAACTTCTTACACAAATTTCTCTAAAGTAAATTTAGCCGATGATTAATCATTCGCTCAAATGCCAACGATCCTTACAGAATCTCTATAATATCCAGTTATAAATGGAATGTTAATCAATAGATAATATATTGTATGAAGATTATATGCAATTAAAATCAATAGCTAATTAATTACCTTCTATTAATACTACAGCTTCCCTCGCTAGTCACCACGTTACTGTTTACCATGCACATGGTGATGTTCATACTTGTACAAATTTATATTTACTCATTTTTGGGGGAAATTATTTGAATTATCGTGTTAACAACGTCGTTTTTCATTATTTTTATTTATTTTTTTATTAAGTTAAAAGTGATTACAAAGTAGTGTATGTTCTAAGTACCCTCAACCATTTGACAATAAACATTCAATCACCATTGAACTCGAATTCGTGTCCTCTAGGAATAACAATTAATCATTTAATCACTTAAGTAAATTGGTTCGTACGTTTTTACTTGATTTTTAATTATGCATTGAATAAAAAAATATTTTTAAATATTTATAAGAATATAATTATACGAATTGACTAATTGTTATCCAATGGAGTACATGTAGTTTATAAATCATAAATAATTGGATGAACAGAAACTTTTTTCTTGAGTTTCTACTCTTCTTTTCAAGCCAATGTTAGTTACGGAAGGCAAGTTTTCTTTGCTTATTTATCTTATTGTTGGACGTTAGATTAAATTTGTTAGAAATCATAATGTCTTCCAATCAAGAAAGTAGGAATGATGCGTTAATTAGTTTGATGATGTCAAAATGAGAGAAATTCATACGATAATTTGATTTGTAGAGATATTCACAACTCAAAGATAATAATAAAAAAGATAAATGAAATGAAAGAAAAAGGAAAAGGAAAAGTAAAAGTAAAAAGAAAATTAAAGTGGGTAATAGTTTCAAATTATTGCATTTAGGTCCCTCAACTTTTAAAACTTACAATACAGTCACCAAACATTTAGTTCGTTTGCAATATGGTCCTCGACTGTAACGGCCGCTTCAATGCCGTTAGGGTAAATTATATAAATGGTCACTGAACATTTTAGAAACTTGCATTTAGGTCCCCCCAACTTTTAAAAATTGCAACATTGTCATCAATTATATTATAAACCCCAAATTCCAAAATGCTTCAATTATATTCTAAACCTCAAATTCCAAAATACTTCAATTACATGCCCAACCCCAAATTCATTATCCATTCTCGAAATCTGTCATAACAAATTGAACTTGAAGCAGCAACCATAAACCCTTAAAACATAACCCTAAATGCTAAATTTCCCCACCAATTGACCCAACATAATCACCAACATTTAGTTCATTTTGGGTCCATAACAATAAGTGCTTATGTTGGGTTTAGGATTTAAAAGTTAGATTTAACCAACTATAAGTGAACAATACTCAATTCAATTCGAAAAAGTATTTTTCGACTTGAATTTATTCAAAAAAATTGATACAAATTAACTTTGAGTTGTAATTTCATAAACTCAACTTAAAAAAATTTCAAGTTAAAATCGAGTTGTAAAATACAACTCGAATATCTCAAATTTTTTAGTAATCAGTATATTAATTTTTAAGTTTGAGTTAAGTCCTTTGACTCTGTATGATATATGTATACCACATATGGAAAAATATGAAGAAATATATGTATAGTATATGGTTAAAAAACTATTTAAATTAGAATCAAATAATATTATAGTATTATAAATATTTATAATTAATTTTAAACATAAACTCGAAAATTCAATTCAATTCGACTTGATTTAAATTTTATAAACTCAAATCGAACAAATTTCGAGCCAACTATTTTATAAACTAAACTAAATTAGAATAAAATAATATTATAATATGATAAATATTTATAATTAAATTTAAATAGAAACTCGAACATTCAATTCGACTTGATTTAAATTTTATAAGTATTAGGGTTGCTGCTTCAAGTTCAATTTGTTATGGCAGATTTTGAGAATGGATTATGAATTTGGGGTTGGGCATGTAATTGAAGTATTTTAGAATTTGAGGTTTAGAATGTAATTGAAGTATTTTAGAATTTGGGGTTTATAATGTAATTGATGAATGTGTTGCAAGTTTTAAAATTTAGGGGGACCTAAATGCAAGCGCCTGGAAAATTTAGTGACCATTTATATAATTTACCCTAACGGCAGTGAAACGATCGTTACGTCGGGGACCATATTGCAAACGAACTAAATATTTGGTGACTGTATTGAAAGTTTTAAAGTTGGGAGACCTAAATGCAAGTATTTGAAAAGTTCAATGACCATTTTTATACTTTACCCTAAAAATAAATATAACTCAACTATACTCCATAGGCGGCTAAACCAAGCGAGAAGAAATTACAAATTAATGAGATTGGGTATTGGGCGAAAGCAAAGCAATTGGCCCATCCTTTAAAATAGTTTTTTAGGAGTTGATGAATGAAACATTCAATGTATCAATATTTATTTATATTAGAGGTAAATGAAAGATCCAATGTATCCCAAAAAAAATTAATAAGAATTATAACACGTAAGAAGATGGATACAAATACTAAATAGATATAAGAATATATCAAAACTTATATAACATAAACTATCACCTAGGAAGTATTTTCTGTTTTTCTTTCAAGTTGTTTGGTCTTTTATCTTTAGTTTTGTTTGACGATAGTGATATCAATTTTAGTATTGATCGTCGACTGTCGGTATTCCTTCTTTTTCATCTATTTTTTATATTGCAATCTTTATTTTTTATTTTTTTATTTCTAATAACTCTGTCTTCATGGTACGATTACATTTTTTTCTAATAACTTTGGTGATAGATTTTGGGTAACTTTAAACTTTAAAAAAATTAGAGATTTAAATTAAAAATTTTAAAAATTTTGAAGAATTCAGTTTACATTTTTTTTAAAAAAATTGAGGTCTAACTAAAATTTTTGAAAATTTGAGAGACTTGATGAGATTTTTTTTTTCAAATTATGGGAGAGGTTTAATTAAGAATATTAAAAAAATTTAAAGCTTATTATGAATTTTTAAAATTTTGCGGGGACTAAATTAATTTTTTTTAAAATTGTAAGGGTACACTGTTTTATCATTGTGTTTTATCACTGTTTTATGGTGCATTTTCTCTTTTTTTGGTATATTTTCAGTCTTTTTTATTGGTCGTTTGGTTGTTCTTTTTTCTTTTTTTAAGGTTGATTTTGACATCACCTCAAATGATCAAGATGATGTTTTATTTGTTATTCTGTTGATTTGCCCTGCTTTGGACCCTTAGATAAATTTAAATGTGCGGTTTGTGTTCGGAGATAGTTTTCTCATGACATTTGACTCTGACTCACGATTGTCGGTCCTATTGCAGTAGCTTAATCCTTTATTATAGTTCATTTATCGATGCAGTCAGATCTATTCACATCTTTATCTTGTTCGAGCTTTTTTGGATATGTTTTTAACATTTTCTTTGTATGAATCTTATATAATCTTAAGTGACTAATTTTGTGTTGATGGTTGTAGGAAATGTCCTAATTATACACTTAGTTTATAATTATGGTTATAAACTATCATTGTAATTATAATTTTTAATAAAATTAATGATTTTTATTTATATAAAAAATTTATTTATGGAAAATATATAAATAAAATATAATTGAACATACATAAGTACAAAAGTTGTCAAAAAAGCATCCTTAATGTTTCCTTCTTTTTCATTAAATTTTAACATAATTAATATTTATTGAACGTATCGAATTAATAAATTGTGAACGACAATTATTAAAGTTACAACCAATAGAAGTAAACAAACGTTCATCATTGGGGATCTTAATAGTGGTGTATCTTATAATTATTTACAAAGTTGTCACTTAATTGACAAAAAAATGATGGGCACTTATGAAAAAATCAAAGTAGATTTAAGGTATTATATATTTGTATAAAAATAGTTACCATTAACTTTATTTCTTATAAAATGCTCAAACAAAATATGTTATTGTTAATATTATTTTCTTGGCACAAGGAATTGATTTTTTATTGTTATAACATTTGTATTTTTTAATCGCGTGTATCTTAATATATATTTGTTTAATATTTATGTTTTCAATTTGTATATATAGGAGTGTTATTTTTAATGTAATAATTTTATTTAATTTCATATAATTTTAACAGTGATTATTTTTAAAACATAGAACAGATTTATATATATTACGAAAAATCTCTTTGATAGGGAGATAACCGCCTATAAAAAGGCTCAGGCTTGATCCATCTCAATATGAAGAAGTCGTATTCAGTCTTTAGACCAGCATCAAGGAAACATCATGGACGGAACAAAACAGCTTCACATAGCGATGTTCCCATGGCTAGCTTATGGTCATACAATGCCATTTCTCGAGGTTTCCAAATTCTTAGCTCAAAAGGGGCATCGAATATCCTATATATCCACCCCTAAAAACATCGGTCGCCTCCCTAAACTTCCCCCACATCTCTCCTCTAACATAAGTTTCGTCCAGTTTTCTCTTCCTCATGTTCATGGCTTACCTCCAGAAGCTGAGTCCACATCTGAGGTACCAATCGACAAAGTTCCTTACCTTAAAAAAGCGTATGACAAGCTCCATGTCCCTTTAACCGAGTTTGTCAAGAATTCTAACGTTAACTGGATAATACATGACTTTGAGCCTTACTGGTTACCTGGAATTACAACTCCACTCGGCATCAACTCAGTTTTGTTATGCTTATTCAATGCCACTTCCATGGTTTTCATGGGTCCACCATCAGCTTTGCTTGGTGATGGTCGAAAACGACCGGAAGACTTCACAGCCGTCCCTAAGTGGATAGATTATCCTTGCAATGTAGCTTTGAAGCTCTATGAGATAGTGAACCACCAACAATGCATGGACGATGTATCTGATTTCCAACGGGTGGGACTCTTGGTTCAAGGTTCCCTATTTGTAACTTTGCGTGCCTGCTTCGAGTTCGAACCAGACGATATTAAATTGCTCATTAAGCTTTACCAGAAACCTGTCGTTCCTGTAGGGTGGTTGCCTCCATAACTGACATCAAATGAGGATGAAAGAGATGATAAATGGGAAGGTGTGAAAAGTTGGCTTGACACCAAAAGAGAGAAGTCAGTTTTCTATATCGCATTTGGTAGCAAAGTGAATCTAAGTGAAGAGTCCATGCACCAGTTGGCATTTGGGATAGAGAAATCCAATTTGCCCTTTATTGAAGGGCAGATGGATGATAATCATCAGGACATAATCCCTCCAGGGTTCGAGAAACGAGTATATAACAGGGGCTTGGTGTTATGGAAATGGGCACCTCGGTTACGGATATTAGCCACTCTTCCGTTGGGGGTTTCTTAACTCACTGTTGTTGGAGTTCAATAATCGAGGGACTCAAGTTCGGGCGGGCTTTGATAGCGTTTTCTGGGGCAAGTGCGGATCAGGGGATGAACGCTAGATTGTTGCATGGGAGGAAAGTTGGGTTAGAAATAGAGAGAAATGAAGTGGACGGTTCATTTACAAGCGACTCGGTGGCTGCGACCATCAGACAGGTGATGGTGGAGCCAGAAGGAGAGGTGCTTAGGGCAAATGCGTGGGCAATGAGAGAGATATATGGAAACGAAGAGTTGAGTAATAATTACATGGATGGATTCACTCGGTTCATTCAAGAGTTCGCACCTTCAGCTAACAAACGTCGGGTTTGATTAAGTTATATCGAAGCTTGTTCCTGTAGAGCTTCCAAACATTTTGCTTTCTAAGAGAGAATGTATCTGTTGAAATAGTTAAATTATTGTAATCCATAAAGAAGAATCGAATAAAGTGTGCTTAATATTTTGGGAAAATAATTTTGAGTCTTGGCTGCTAATTTATATGTATATAAAAATTATCCATCCAATAAATTTAATGATAAAAATATAACTTAAATTAGGCCCAACGTAAATAAATGGACATCGTTACCTGCAGGCCTACACCCGGCTCGGTAAGAATAATAGGGTTAGATGATAAGAATCGAGACTCAGACAGCAATAAAGCTTCGAATGCCAGACCAAAACATTGTACGATTTCTAGAAAGAAATATGGTTGAAACCACCAGTACGATTATAGTAAGAAATATGCATGGAATGATAATATACAGTTATGTGTCAACGTCATGGTTGTTTTTCCTTGAAATTAACAAGATATTTGGTTCAAGGATCGCTGCAAAATTAATGTGATTTGGCCCTTTCTGGATTGAGAATTCATAAATACTAAAACCATTTCTAGTAGCCTCTAATGTGGAAAAGTAAGTGCCTATAAAACATAGGTGATGGAATCATATGATTTTAGTTTGATTATCTTACCAGCTTTGTGAAGGACTCTGCTTAAGACGTCTCGGCCTTGTACAATATATGGAAGCTTGTCATGTGGCTAAGCTACCCTCATTTATTTCACTATCAAAATTAATGGGTTAAACTACCCTGCGAGTCACTGAACTAGTGGGTTAGTTTTATTTTGACCACTTAATTATGAACTTCATCAATTAAGTGCTTAAACTATTAAAATAGTTTCAATTAAGCCACTAACCGTTAATGGATCTACTACCGTGACACTTAAGCAAATTTGTATAATTGCACATTTGTTCCTTATTATTTACACATTAGATCAAGTTGGTCCTAAATTTAATTAAAAATAAAACAATAAAGGAAAATAAAGAAAGTAACATATATATATAAATTGTAGTCAATCTTTAATCAAGTTTTGGACTTGATTCAATGGTTAGGTGCTTTTAAACCTATCTCCTCCAAGTTTGAGTCTTCTTATTCCTATTTTATCTTCCTTATTAATGTTTACTAATAGAACAATGTCATCGTCTCATTTTATGATTATATTTGTTAAATTAATTTTAATTTAAATTAATAATAAATTAATAGAATGTATAAGTAATGAGGATCAAATATTTTATTATCCTAATTTTGATCAAATTGATAAAATATAAAAGCATCAAGGATTAAACATGTTATTATATAAATATGTTTAATTATCATGTTAACAGTTCTGTTACCAGTAAGTTTAACTAAAACTATTTTAATAGATTAAATTCATAATTCAATAATTAAAGTAAAGTCACCCCATAATTTAGTGACCCATAGGATAGTTTATCCAAAATGATTTTACATTTTATGTCTTTAACTATTGAAAGACGATATGACTTAAATTACTGAAAGATCACCGACAATCATAAATTAAAGTCAAATGTGTGTGACACCTATATTCGAACATAAATCGTGTATCTAAATCCAATCTAAATATCAAGATAATAAATAAGTGTAATATTAATCAATGGATGAGATGTCAAATGCACCCCTAAGAAAATTAAACAAAATAACAACCAAACGATTAATAAGAAAAATAAAAATCATGTCAAAAGAAAAAAAGTATGCTATAAAAATATGAGAAAATCGCCTCAGTGACCAAAAAAAAGTTATAATATACGATTTTAACCAACTTTTTTTGGATTTGCCAAAATGACCAACAAAATCGCAACGCGAAATAAAAATCGCAACGCGATCCCCAGAATCGCAAATCAGTTTCCAGAATCGCAACGCGATTCTTGAAAATCGCGATGCGATAGTACAAATTCGCATTGCGATTTTCCATAATCGCAACGCGAATATGAAAATCGCAACGCGAACACATAAATCGCAACGCGTATCCGTAAATCGCAACGTGTATCCGTAAATCGCAACGCGTATGGGTAAATCGCAATGCGTATCCGTATATCGCAACGCGTATCCGTAAATCGCAACGCGTATCCGTAAACCGCAACGTGTATCCGTAAATCGCAACGCGTATCCGTAAATCGCAATGCGTATCCGTAAATCGCAACGCGTATCCGTAAATCGCAACGATAATCCGTAAATCGCAACGCGTATCCGTAAATCGCAACGATAATCCGTAAATCGCAACGAGAATCTGTAAATCGCAACGATAATCCGTAAATCGCAACGAGAATCTGTAAATCACAACACTGAAATTTTGGGTATATAACACTGAAATCATAAACTAAATCCCTAAATCGCAACTCATTCCATCTCCATCTATCACTCTCTCCGGCGACATCCGTTCCTATATCCAACGACATCCTTCCCCATCCGGCAACAGGTCTTAGTTTCGCATCTCGTTTGTTTAGTTACAACCATGAAATCATCTAATGTTGATCATGTTTGGATAGATTTGTGTTTTGGAGGGTCATGGGATAATGTTAATGGTGTTTTACAATATATGCCTTTACCCATAAATCTTCAACTAAAATTGTCTTTACAAAAGTTAACTTATGAAACTCTAATGCTACGTGTTCAAATAAATTGAATTTAGAGCCCCTAAGTGGATTTAGGCTATCTTATCAGAGAAATGGTAAAGTTTATTTGTTAACCGACAATGAAGATGTTGAACGATTCATTGCTTACATTAGTGTTTCACAAGATGATGTTACATTGTATGTTGTTGAACCTAGAAGTAGTATTGTTGGGTCAGTAGCGGGTAGTAATCAACTAAGTTTTTCTCAAAACCCACAACCTTTCTCTAATCCAAATCCCAATCAACTTTCAGCACCAAATTCCGGTTTTCGTATTGACCAGTTAGACGATGATGAGCCAACAGAAAAAATTGTGAGTACTAGTCAGTATTCGAAATTTGGTCTTGGTCAATATCCGGACTTTGATATTGGTCAATACACGGATTTTGATGATGTTTCAGAAGAAGAAACAGACCATGCGTGTAATGATATTGATATTGGTCAATACCCGAATTTTGATGATGAAACAGCCGTTGCCGAAGAATGTAATGTTGATGATAATGAGGAGGAAGTTACGACTGTGAATGAACATGTTGAACATCCATTCTGTAATTCATATAATCCTGAAGAAGAAAAAGAAGAAGAAAAAGTCCCCGAAGAAAAGAAAATGCCACGGGCGTATAACTGGAATATGCCAGAATTACTTCAGATACCGGAAGAAGAGTTGATAAAGAAAGCAGTTGATTGTTACACAAAAGTTTTTCGTATCAAGAAAGATGATTGTTTTGATACAAAGGAAGACTTGAAGATAGCTTTATATACGAAATGTGTGGAAGATGGCTATCAACTAAAAGTTAACAAATCAAGCAAAGATCGTTTCGAAACAAGGTGTATGATTGACAAAAACTGTACGTGGCGTATGATTGCAAAGAGAATAAAAGATTGCAAAATGTTTCAAGTTAGGACTTTTATTGATAAACATACATGTTCAAGAACCCAAGTTTTTCCTCACCATAGACAGGCAAACAAAAAGGTGTTGGGTGGTTTTCTGGCTGAGTTAATGTTTTTGAATGGCAGGGTATATCGGGGACATGAAATTATGACTGACATGAATGCTCGGTTCAAGATTAGTATATCATATTCTCAAGCTTGGAGAGCCAAATGTTATGCCTTGGAATTGTTGAGGGGGTCGCCAGAAGCATCGTTTGCCCAACTGCCGGCTTATTGTCACAATTTAAAGCTGAAAAATCCTGGGTCGGTAACTCATATCAAAACAGATAGAGATGGACGCTTTGAGTTGCTGTTTATCGCCATTGGTGCTACGGTTAGTAAATCAATATAATTTTGTTGACTCATTTTTGTTAGTTACATGCATTTCACATTTAAATGATTATATTTCTTGTGTATATTATTTTGTAGATTCGTTCGTTTATTACTTGCATGCGCCCAGTTATTATAGTTGACGGAGCACATTTGAAAGGTCGATACCTTGGAGTAAACTTATTAGCAGTAGCCATGGATGCTAACAATGGGATATTGCCAATAGCTTACGGGGTTGGCAAATCTGAAACCTCTGATTCATGGACATGGTTTATGGGGCATCTTAGGGATTGCATAGGTCCTATTAGCAATCTGACAATCATATCCGATAGGGCAAACTC